TTGGCTGTTTGTCAGCTTCAGCCTCTTTAGCATATCACTCACACCAAGGCCTGAGTTTTCCTGGGGGCTCTGTAGTCAGTATTCGTGCGCTCTTTGTTGACCAGGAAGGATCCAAAAAAAAAGCAGAGAGCACTGGGGAAGAGAAGCCATGTCTCTATGAAGGGACTGTGGGCTGAGGATCCCAGCAGGAAGTAGATGAAGCAAACAAGGCCTAGTGGGGTGAGAAATGTGCAAGGACACTCCCTTCCCCATTCCTGGGGGTGGTGGTGGTGGGGTGTCAGGTAAGCAGCTGAAACAAAGACATTCTTTTTTAATCTTCCTGTTGTCTTTATCACATGGGGAAAAGATTTTGAGGTTTCCTTCCCTTTCTTTCTCAGCCCAATTCTAGACTTGGTAGGTTCATGACTGTCATAATCAAAGGGACAGCTGGCAATGCCAGACACAGGTACCGTGCTGGGGGGTGGCCTAACAGGTTGCAGAGTATGCCAAGAGCTATGTATACAGCTGCCAAAGAAAGTGGTCCTTTCTTGTTCCAGCCCAGGGAGATGAGCTCTGCAAGGCACAGTGGGCTTCCTTAATTCAGGGAATGTAGAGAAAGAACATGGTTATATTGGGCCTGGACTTGTTGCTATCTAGGCAGCGCTTCCTGGCTGGGATGCAGATACCGTGTCCCACAGTGCAGGAGACATACTACTGCAAATGATTTTTTTTCCCTTGCTTAGAAAGAGTACCAGCATCCCCCTTGATTAAAAGGGTGGTGCTATGGAAAACTCAAATTATAAGCATTTCATGTGAGGCCTGCTGATAAGTCCATTAATCTACCTCTGGAAGTGCTGCCAAGGCCTGGGTAAGAATCAAGTTTTAGCCCTTGGGGTTTACATAGTCATAACCATCCTGGGTTAGGTACTGAGTGGGGAACATTGCTCCCATCAGCAGCACCTGTATGGGTCAGGAACCCAAAGAGTGCAAATATCTGGGTGATGTTGCTGATGATTTTAATTCACTCTATTTGGATAATGGCCTTTGAGGCCTCAGTCACCATTTTGCCCATCCCATGGGCATGCCCCATTGATCAGTCATCGTCCGGCAGGAACTGGGGAATGTTAGACTTGTCAAGAGTTAACAGCTGCACTTGTGTACATGGGCTTTTGCTCCTGAAATTCCATAGGAGGGTGGTGCAGCTGTATGAGCTCACAGCAAAGGTCTTTGCCAGTGTTCCTCCACATAGAAAAGCTTTGCACCTGCTACTGGTTATCCCACATCCTAAGGATGCTAAGGTCCTGCCAACCTGGAACCCAGAGCTTCTAGTGGACTGCAGCATCATCTGGGACTCCCAGGAAAACATTGTGCCCATCTCTTTTGTTAGAGAAAAGGGATCCCAGAGGCTGTCCCCGTGTCCTTCCGGAATGGCTACTGCAGCCACAGGGGTTAGTCCCCTACTCCCTCCCCCAAAAGTACCTAGTGTTGAATGGCATCAGAACTTGGAGCAGGGAGGTGATCAGGCAGCCAGACTGAGGTGTCAGTGGGAACACAAGTGGGACTAAATATTGTTTCTGTGAGAGAGGCCTAATGTAGGTGATGGGGATGGCAGCATGTGCAATCTGCATGGGATGGGTGAAAATACAGCTTCCGAGGTGGACCTGGAGCCAAGAAAGCAAAGGCTTCTTGGGGTAGCTTTGAACTTCTTTGGGAATGTTCATCCCCACAGGATGATAATGGATCTAATCTGAAGTAAAGCCACTGAACCACACATGGTGAGCAACCTCAGCTCCAACTACTTCAATTTCCTCCTGATCTAGTCCGTTGCACCAGAGTAGTTGGTGATGGAGACGTTTCCAGGGAGGAGCAGGCCGTGAGTTCCTTCACAGCTTTTCCTACCTAGTCAGAGTTGCAGTCATCTCAGCATGACACCACTGGCTTTCTTTGGGGGGAGCAGGAGCGGGCAGGGGATGTTTTAAGCAGGAGACAAAGCAGCATGAGCGCTATAGCTTCCCAGAAACAGGATGAGTTCCTCAAGTTTTTGGGGACAATGTTTATTAATACTGCCACTTTCACAACTTGGCACTTGGCAAATCATCTGCCTGGAAAGGACTCATTTTAATAATGTTCTTTCGAGAGCAAAATGAAGGTACTCTGACAGCTCTTTTATAAAGAAAAGCATAAAAACAGCTTGTGTTTGCACTGTGTACAAGGCTGAAGACAAGTGATGATGCATGACAATGGGAGCAGATGACAATAACATTAACCTCTGGGAACCAAAAGCTTTTAGTGATAAAAGAGAAATCTTAGTTACAAAAGAAAAAGGATTCACTGGCATGATGGGAATTTTTGAAGTAGAAATTTCAGAGGCAGTCAGTTTGCAAGGTTTAAAAACAGCCTTGATACTGTAGGGGTTCTTAAGCACTGAAGCAATAAAAATAATAAACTGCACTTATTCCACAGTATTTTTCCTAGGCATTACTTTAACTGCTGCTAATTGGCATGGTGTTAACTACTCTGAGCCATGTGTGACCCTTCACCACAAAGTAAAGTGGTATCTTTATCAGGTAGAAAACGTACAGGGTTGCTGAGGCATAAGGGGGAAAACTCCTTCAAACAGGGCAGAACAGTTTGCTTTGGGCAGCTGGTTGGTTCTTTGGTGGGTGCAGAGGCTGAGCTGTGCCTCTCTGCTCTGCTGATGCACTGTGCACCCAAAAGAAATGGAGAGCAGTCCCTCCCCATCCTTGACCCTGTGGCACTGAGGATTTGCTTCTCCGGAGCATCTTCCTGTGCTCTAGTAGACCGGAGCTGGCAAATGTATTCCAGTGTCTAGTGGCTCTGACCTTGTATTGCCGGAAGGGACTGGGACTGAAGCATTTCCCAAGATGTGCCTAGCAGATAGGGTATCCGAACTGTTGCACAGACACAAGCAGAAAGAAAGAGGGAGGACAAGGGAAAGTAAGAAAGAAACATGACCTGTTGTCAGTATGTGTGTCTTCTGAGAGCTGTAGCAAAGGCTCCCCTGCAAGGGGAGTTAGGTGGCTCTCTGTAGACACCTGCCTGCTCCCCATATGGGTGACCTGGCAGGACTCTCCCTGACCCATGTTCTCCTCTGTGTCTCCTTCCTTAGAGGCCAGGACTCTGTGAAGTGCTCATTTGTAGCCCAGCTGCTGTCAAGGTTCAAGTCAGCAACCTGCATGCAGCGTCTGGCACCTTCTGGGTGCCCTAGGGCATCTGAGCTGGGCAGATGGGACACAGCAGCTCCAGGAGATCCATGTAGCCAGCAGCCAGAGCCCACTCAGCACAGCCCAGTCGACCCTCGGCAACCTAAATTTAGCCAGCTGACCTGAACCCTTCTTCTTCACAGGTAGGTAGTGGAAATGCCTGGAAACAGCCAGCTGCAAGTCCAGACCAAGGGTAGGGAAGAGGGCAGGTGAATTTAAGCCCCATCCTAGCAGCTCAGTACCCACCACGCACCTCCCGAGTGCCCTTCATGCCCAGGTCCACGCAGCCTGGCTGGCGCGGAGTTGGCTTCCCTGCGGTGCCGGACAACAAAACCACAAACCCTGCTTGGGATTTGGACACTGACGGTTGGCCCTCCTGGTCAAACTCCTTTCAAATACCGTGTTACTGAAATCCTCCATGTTGTTTCCCACTGGCTTGTGTTATCTCTGTAACAACATTTAAAAGACAGCCCTTTAAGGAATTCTTTGATCTTGTAAATGCTTACATGCTTGCAAAGCAGCATGCTGCAGCAGCAATTTTACAGAAGCCAAGGCAACCGTTCACACAAAAAGGTTGAAGCACAAACACAATTGTTTGCAGCTACTAAATTAAGCCCCCATGATGGAGCACCTTTCTTTTCTAAAACTTTGTTTCACTTTAAAAAACAAAAGGGCCTAAGTCAAACCTCAAGGCCAAGTGGACCATTCCAAATCCGAGTGGAGTGGACCACTTTTACTTGATGTGCAAGCTTGGGTTTCAACAAGGACAACAGAGGGATGAACCCATATATGACAAACAAAATAGTCTGAGATGAAAAAAAAATCGTTTCCCCCTTCTTTTCCTTTTGTGACTTAAGAAACTCACTGTGGGCAGAACAAGTAAAGCAGGTGCTGGTTCCCGGTGGTGGCACGCAGTATGTCCTCGCTCTCGGCTTCCTTTTTTTAGCAATGTAGCCGAATTGAAACTTTCTGTGCGGTGAAGCGGTGTGCGTGTAATTGCACCAGCAACGCGAGGGCAATACGGGGCAGATGCACAGAGAAGAGGCCTTCCCCCACCCACGGCTGGCAGCGGTATTTTTCTCCCCTCCCGTCCGGTCCCCCCTTCCTCGTACGTGGCTCCCTCGTGAGCCAGCGGCGGGCAGGGCTCTCCCAGCTGCTGGGGACAACGCTTGGCTGCCTCGGCCCTGGGCTGGGGCTGGGGCTGGGGCGGCCGCGGA